TGATTTGAGGTATCTTTTTTTTATCAAGGCTTGGCTCTAGTTGGTACAAGTCAACAAAGCGTACCTTTAATCTTGAGACAATTGATACTTCAAAGTTAAATTAATATAAATCATTTTCTGGTATTCTTGATTTCTTTCTGTTCAAACTTATAGGGGATTATAGTTGAAAGACTAAGTATCAGTCGTTCACTTTATCTAGCTCATATAGATCCCGTTTGTACCCGAAGAATCTCATCATCAATATATAAGACATCATGAATCATAACAGTTATAAATGGTACTCCTCATTTTTAAGAGGGAATTGAATGAAACAACATATTAATGAATAAAGAATAACTATTATTTCTACCCAAGTTAACTTCATTTTCATGAGTCATAATTTTACTAGACAAAGACAACTGACCTGTGTCAGCGAAATAAAATTAGTTATTTAAAGAAGAAATACAATTCTGTATTTTTTTTTCAAAAATAAGGGTTGAAAGCGATGAAAAAGCGGTGTGATACTTTGACAACAAGTTACTCGTTAGGAGTCTGTTCAAACGATGTACCAGCATAAATCAACCATCATTTATTCAGTTACTTTATATAATTCACTTAAGCTTAGATCAAACTTACCGTACAAGTTTATTAAATTGATTATGAGTAACAACGATTTTAAATGGTTTGTGATAGTCTACAGAAAACTCTTCACCTCAATTTCTTACAAGAAGTACCTAGAATCTTATGGGAAGCAAAGTTTCCTGTAGAATTCAAACCTGTTTAAGCTAACTTCACTAACTTATTCTGTTATGTTTTTCAGTCTCTTAATCAAATTACTAAATCAGGAAAATTTACTAATACCACTACACTTCATCTCTATCAGACCATATACTTTCTATTTCAACCAATGACACTCTTTGGTAAGTAACAAATAACCTTGAAAGATCGGTCATGACAACTCCTATTCCTAATGACCAGAAGTGCAGCTTTCTTCTAGCACAGTAGTCGGTCAGAATAAGAACACAACAAGCAAACAAAACATTTATAGATTTATATAAACTAATTAACAAACCACTACATACTACAAGTAAGAAATTATAGAATTGACACAACGGAGTCAGTGTTAGAATTGAGCCATAGGTGAATCAGAGATAATTCAGGAATGGTAAAACGCATACCGACAGCTAAGACTTCAAAGGAAGGCTTATGAATAGAATAACATAGGAATACCATAAACTAATTACTTTATAAGTGTGTAATAAAAGTAGAGATAATACATCATCCTATAATAATGGTAAACGTTTCGAACTTCTCAATATCCACTTCGTTTTAACGACATTTATTTCAGAAACTTCATACACATAGTTCCCTTTATCATCTTGAAGAGAGCAAGTACCTAGATTTCAGCAGTTTATTTCCAATGAGTTACACGAAAGTATTGATCAAAACACTATTTTCTAGAGTAAAAAATTATGTACCATTAACAAACTTGAAAGTAAATCGATGAACGTTGAAAATTGCATAGGAGACAAATGTTACCCACACGAACTCATTGATAAATGTTAAAGATAACTGAAGACAAGTCGGATGTAGTTACAGTCAATAAAAGCCAAGGTTTATCCATTTCAACTCCAAAGGTGGCGGCGTTGTAGGGACGATGATTAAGAGGCTTAATGTTGTATTAGCCAGAACTTACTCTGAAGCCAAGCTATTAATATTGCCTGAAACAACATGTTCAATAATTCAGTTGAAAGCTATCAAGTACCTTTTTTATGTTACCGTTAACCGAATCTATAGATTCACATGTACCTGCCAAAGCAACTAGACTGTCCAAATAGAGAGGAGATAATAACTTAGATTGTTTTGATCATGTTCTGGAAAGTATTCGAACAAAGGGAAGAAATATTTTAAATAACATGATTACTAGATATTTCTTAGACACAGGACATCAAGTTGATGCCTTGAAATCTTTGAAGGTGATTAATAAACAACCAAACTCCAATCTTTTGAAATTTGTTGAAGTCATCTCTATCAGGCATCAAAAACTGGATGTTCGTGTTCGTGCTTTGACAACATAAACGCCTTTTCAATACATCATGAAATTTTGTTGAACTCTTTCTTTCAATCAATTACATCATTACGTCATTTTTATTTCAACTATGTTCTAAAAGAATAATCTTATTTTAAATAACTGAGCTTCACTCATTTTAGTCCTACTTATCAGAGTTTATTCATTACGTAACCACTAGTTTCTATCCCTTTAAACTTTTATTACTATCATCAGAATGGGTTTTGTGGAGATTTTTAGTAATTTCACTAGTTGAAATCACAAGTCAATTGAAGCTAGACTACCATGGAAAACCTGGAAGCACTAGACGGTCGTTTCGTCCTAGTATGGGACTCCTCAGAAGTGCGTATCCACGATCCCGCACCCCGCGAGATTCGAACGCAGGACCTATCCGTCTCGCACCAGGCGCTTAACCAACTAGACCACTGAGCTGGCCAGCATCCAATGGTGTTAATATCTAACTTCAACCAATCCGCGAAGCTGCGCCACCGTGCATCATTGTCTTCAGTGAGTTCCTATCTCACAACTGCTGAGGAGTCCCATACTAAGACGAAAAGGCCGTCCAGTGCTTCCAGGTTTTCCATGGTGGTATAACTTCAATTAACTCATGATTTCAACCAGTGAACTTTTGTTACTATCGTTGTTGTAGAATTTTCTTTCACATACGATATTTGTTTATTTTGTCTATTAAATTTATTTACGCCCTTTCTATACCATAATGATATGTGATCATATCAACTTTCATTCAAACTCCTTTATGTAATTAATTCCAAACTATTTTATAACTATATTTGTTTAATATTACCGATTGTAAGTAGCTGACAAGAACCAAACGAAATCAATGGAATTCATGTTATACTACTTAAATCATTGTACTTACTCTTTTCAAGTTTCTATCTGATTTGCTCAATGTATATGATTAATTTGTAGACTGTTTCTATCAATGTTGGAAAATTTCTATTTAACTTTATAATAATAGATATTGATGTTAATGTATTCCAAATTGTAAAACATGTTAGTTTCGTATATTTAAGATTAGAGTTGATTATTTTTTCTTTATATGGAGAATATAACTGACTGATTAGCTTTCCTCTTTATTGCCGAAGACATGTAAGATTGGGTTATTTTTGATGCAAATTCACTGATTACTTTATCGATGTATTGATTATCAATGGATTCATCACTATGTTTAGTTTTGTTTTCTTTCAACTAAACAGTTATTGATAGAGATATATTTTTCCCATATTATTATTCTCTGTGTTAACGTGGATAACAAAATTGTTTGATTTTGTCTTAAATACCCCCCCTTGGATATTAATTAACATATTCTCTCTAGTGACGGTCTTCAAGAGGTATTTCCTACAGTTCTAGTGAGAAGCAATGACTAGTGGAGTCCAACCGGGTCCGTTGTGAGATAGTAACTCACTGAAGATAATGGTGGATTTGTCGCTCAATTTTGTGGATTAGTCGAAGTTAGACATTAACACCGCTGGATGCTGGTCTAGTGGTTAGACGTTTGAGCACGAGACTGATAGATCCTGTATTGGCATCCCGTGAGGTGGCATCGTGGATGCGCACTGTTGAAGAGTTCCAGAATAGAACGAAACGACTATCCAGTGCTTCCAGGTTTTCCATGGTAGTCTAGTTCCAATTAACTCATGATCTCAACTATTAAAATTAACTAATTTTATGGAGTTTGATTTATATCTTGTCAATTCATGTACACCCACACATTCGTAAATATGATATTTATTATCAGAATGGAGGTCTGTGGATGTTGTAGCAATTTTTGTAGTAGAGTTCATGAGCCGATCTAAGCTAGATCACCATTGAAAGTCTGGAAGTGCTGGATGGCCGTTTCGTTCTAGTATGGGACTCCTCAGCAGTGCTCATCCACGGTCTCGCATGTGGAACTGAAACCCAGGACGTTTAGTCTCGTACGCGAACGCCTAACCTCTAGACTTCTGTGCCGGTATGTATTTAGTGTGAGGAAGAAATGTTAGTGTTTTTATATTGTATACAGTCTCCCTCATTTTGTTGACTACTTAAACAAATTATATTGGTTACGCAATAAGACAGGAAAATGCTTCTAACAATTTGAATGAAAGGGAATTTTACTCTGTGTCTATGTTATAGTTCGAAGAAGCCAATAACAATCAAAGACAATAGAATGTTTATTTCATTTTATTTTGATATTTTTCAACAATGATTAGTCACGATTGTGTTAAAGACTAAAACCAAGACTGTCAGATCTCCCAACCACTTTGTTCTTCTTCAGATCATTATATTAGATTTGAATAGTTTGTATAGTTAGACTTCGTCGGGAACATTAATTGAATGAAATTGATTATAGACTTGATTAAACTTCATTTCAGTTATTTAAATTGTCATATTTTGAAATGTATATTTTTAAAGAAGCCTATATTATTGCTCTACCCTCATCAAATGACACTGTTATCGATTGGTTTTGAGTATGGTTTTACAGTTTTGTGAAAATCATTGTCAAAAGAATTAGAAATTATTTCAACGTTTTCAACCTAATATTACTGTTTTATGTTCATTTCTGGTCTAAATCATCATACATTTTTATGATCAAACGAATTGATTGTACACCACAAACTGACATGAGTTAGACAACTATTGAAAACCAGGAACCAGTGAACAAGTGTTTCATTCTAACATGGAACTCCTCAGAAATTCGCGTCCATGCTTTCACCATAGATCGACTTCAGTACCTTTAGACTTCACAGCAAACGCTTGTTCTTCAGACCAATGAATAGTAGCCAACTAGTCAACTATATGTTTGACTGAAACTTATTCTTGTTATTGCATAACCATCATTCATTATCATTGGTAATATCACTTTATGAAAACATTTTAATACTACTCTATTTGTTTTCAGTAATCTATACCACATATCTAGAAATGAAGTCTTTTCTTTTGTTCTAAAAAGGTCTCTTAATCCTATTATGTTGCATCCTGTTTCCTATTGGATGGTCTGACAATGATGAAATTATTCAAATATGTGGTGAAAGGCGTTCACGATTCGATCTAGGTAAGTATTCTTTGATTTTTTGTGCATTTTACTATTAAATGAATGCATCAAAGTAGGAATAGTGATAATCAGAATAATGTTTCAACACTAAAGATTCATCTGAGCTGATGTACCATTAAAAATCAGGGATTATTGGTGAACCAATTTGCCATAGTATGCAACTCCTTATCAGTGTGCACTCACGGCTTGACCAAACATCAAACTAAAGATCTTCATAAGAACCACAATTTTCTTCGATTCCTAGTCAGCTGAACATGATGCCAGAAAAACCATCCTATAAAAGACCAGAAAATTTTTATTTCTGAAGAAAAGAGATCGAAATAAATCTACATCACAGTAAAATGACATTAAGAAGTTGTTTTTTTTTTCTATGTGAAGTCAAAAGTCTCGTGTTCTGCATAATACTATCCGTCTATGGAACCGGCATCCACTTAACCATATTTCACATTTTCAGTTAAACTCAAACGAAATATTTATCCAATGCTCTGTGTTATTCAATGGCTATCCAGCTAGTGTCAGGGGGTTTTCCCAAATTTTTTCGATTCTTTAAATACATTTATAAAAATTAACTAAGGGATGAATATTTGGTGGTTACCGATAGTTACATCCTTTCGATATCTACCTTCTAACTGGATAGATTTTAGTTATTCTTAGATATACCAGTAAAATTCGATAACTATCAATCCAACTCGACTGTAGATTGATTCATCAATTTTTTTGCATTTTACTTGTCAAACGTCTCTTTTAGGTCACTGTCAACTTGGATGGGCCTATGTCGTAACAATAATGAGCGGTTTATTATCAATCTTTAGTTCTGTCTTTCCAAATCTATGCTTTCCAAAGATACTATTTGAAATTAAACAAAATAACAAATCTCAGCGTATTAAACCTAATGAAAAACAAACAGATGATGGATTAATACCACATTTTTTATCACATGACTTGTCAATGACGCCAACAATTTTAGCACCAGCCACACCAGGTGGACCACCATCAATTGAAACTGTATCAACTAGTTTACGTACGTCTGATCCACGTATTCATCATGTTGGTTTTGAATCACCATGGTTAAAAACTTGGGCTTGCTTAAATACACCCACTCAACATCAATCACATGGGCCAGTGGTACTAATACACCCAGATTATAATTTATCTTCATATTCAGGTGGTTATTATAATGGAGATAATCAATTAGGCTATAGTCAAGGAAGTTTAGATGACACTTCATCAGTCGGGAAAGAGAAGAAATCTGCTATTGTTAATTCAATGAAACCAGATGTCTCCAAAAATTTAACGCAAAACATAGAAAACAATAAAAGTAACAATTAGATGGGTGATATGGAACAAGTTCACATTATCTTACATGATCTTTCACATTATGTATTAATTCATAATACATGAACTATTTCCACAGTTCTTACCTAAGTCAAAGAAAATGTTTCACATACACTGACTTTATCTTTTGCATATATATATATTCAATTGACGAAATGTATAATTAAATGTATCTCTCAAGAATTCTTCATTGAGCATTCGGTTTTCTTTTAAAATGCATGTATGAAGTGGACTACTTAAATGCTATATAAGTAGTTAAACAAAATATAAAGTTAAAATTCTATGGACATTCATGTATGGTAAGTACAATAGAATAGAAACGTGGGCACATTATTAGAGTTATTCAATATATCGTAATGAAAGGAAGGAGTAGGTGGTTATAAAATTTTATGACTGACCATTGATAATTTTGAATGTTGGAAACTGGATGAGTTTATGAGGAGACAATCACTTAATGTATCAGTCAAATAACTTTCCTAAATGCATAGTTCAATAACCTTCAATAAAGTCAGTGAAAACTATATATATCGAGTCAAACACTTAACTTTGTTTAAGTCATTCTTGACCTCTTGTTTTTTGTTTATTTATTAAAGTATAACCTATTAGAGAAGTCATTTCACAGACTGGTGCATTTAATTTTTTTCTGAGAGTAAAAGTTTAGAATAGAAGATTGAGAAACATTCCCTAAGTTATTTTATTATGTGCTTGATTTCAACTGAATAAAACGAACTATTCTAAACTTCTCTGAATTTAGCACGTCCAAGTAGTTTGTAATAGTCTCTGCATAAATCTATTCCAAGTCAACAATTAACTGCATGTACTTACAAGCCATGTCAAGGTTAAAAAGTAGTTGAGGGATCCCAAAGAAGACAGGCTGCTGAATAAAGCCGATTGTGTTATTAGTCAAAGTTCTAGCCTATGTTTCGTTGTCTTGGTTAGAAGAATTGATGCATACTTATACTTATAATCTATTTACAAATGATTCCGTTCGCTAATTAAAGCTTTTTAGCCATTGCTCAGACATCTCACGCTTGTTGGTAGTTGGGAAAACGTGTAGGAAGTGTATATATATGCAGCTGGATCAAACATCAGGGATCATAACATTTATCAGTATAGCCTTCTTTTATGAAGGAGAAAAAAATGAGTTTGATTTTTATTCCCCGTATTAATCAAGTCAGTTAATCAATATGTAATATGCTGGAAGTATTTACTTAGTTCTATGTTTCGCTGTTTAATTGTTTGAATTCCCAGCCTATTAGATATTATTACTGAAACAGAACTCGAAGATTAAAACTGTGGTATGTTTCAGTGTGAAGAGGTTTATTTCATCATGGAAACATGAAGATTTTTCTTTCTTTTACTTACGGATATACTCACTGATATACAGATTTCCCTCTATTGATTATTATCTAGTAAATGTCTACAGTGAATTAGTACAGAAAAATGCCACATTAAATTAATACATGACCTTAGAGATAACTTAGTTATGACAATCAGTTGTTTAAATAAGAGAAACCTTTTTGGAAACTGTGATCGAGATAAACAAAAATGTTTATTGGAAAGTCTGTGTGTACTGCAAATGGAATTAAATGTTCAACTTTAATAAAATGTTTACATGTTATGACCCTCGATCTTTTATATATCCACTTGATCAAATTACTAGGTGATAGAGTCCATTAATGAGAAGTTTGCTTTACGCATATCAAACCAAAAACCTCTTTAATCATGAACACGACTAACTGTGACGACGATAGTGGGATGGTAAATTCCAGTGGTGCTCCTTCTATCCACAGTGGGCAATCCGAACACAAAAACAGCAAAGAAATTTGCCTTCTATCATTGTGTTATCATCCTGAGTGAAAAGCTTACAGGATTATGTACATCAGTTATATGAACACTGTTATATCTAGAGCTTGGATTCTTTCTATACCGTGTACCACTTGAGCACTCGAACGATAGAACCTTTCAAGTCACAAGTTAGAAGACAAAAGACGAGTGAGAAGGAATGTTGTTCCAAACAGTGTTATATATGACACAAAACTCTCAGGTATTTATAGTTTTTAGTAAAAACGAAATCATCATTATAGTCATCCAATCTGTATACAATGGTTTTTAGCATTTGTCAAATCGGGAAGCTATAAGTCGAGATTCTGGAATGTTCTTCCAACAGATGATTGGATGGAATATCTTCTACTCTTTCTAGGTTTCTTACAGTTTCCTTGAGTTCACTCGTGAGTTATCCTCACAACCACAACTTACCATGAGTAAAAAATTACTATATGTTCATAATTAAGTCATATGTGCTACGAAATTTAGTAATAAAAAATTCTTTGTTTAAGATATGGGTTTGTAAAGGTTTTGTACAGCTTTAGGGTAATTTTCATCACTTAGAAAACTGTTAAAAACTAACAAGCATTACGATATTATACTATTCTACATTGGAATCTCTCAACAACACACGCATAAGACATCATACTGTAATTGAGCTTAGTCTGAGAAAAATCACCTCTGAAGTGTACTAACTTTTGTTGTAATAAACAAAAAAAATAGTAGAGCTAATCCGTGTCGGGTGGAAACAGGTGTCTACCTCAGTACAATGGAAGATGGTCGCGCAATTTCGTCGGTTGGTTGAGGTTAGACATTAACACCATTGGATGCCGGCTCAGTGGTCTAGTTGGTTAAGCGCTTGGCGCGAGACTGATAGGTCCTGAGTTCGGATCTCGCAGGTGGGGGCGGTATTGTGGATGGGCACTGCTGAGGAGTCCCATACTAGGGCGAAACGACCGTCTAGTGCTTCCAGGTTTTCCATGGTGATCTAGCTTCAATTGACTCATGATTTCAATCAAAAATTTAACAATTTCCATAATCCCTAAACCGAAAAAAATAGTATAATGAATACAACTACAACTGCATATTAGGTTAAATGTTTGAATACAAAGTATGGACCTGAATGAGATTTACTTACAAGAATGAAATTTACAACTTGAATTTTCATCTGAAATTTAATCAGTCCTAGTTGATGGAATACGATTGTATGTTGTTTAATGAATCGATAAATGTAGAATTAGTATGTCAGTTTGTAGTGAATGTTGAATTCTTATTGTCTACATTATGGAGTGAGATTAGTTTGAGATTGAAATATGTTTATGGAATATTGTGAATTGATTGAATTTAGAAATATAAACCATTGGACCCCATTCCAGGGATTAGAGTGGTTAAGGGTTCGCTGCAAGCCCTTAAGAATCTGAGTTTGACCTATGGTAGAGTCTGGGATGGGTACATGTGGGAGTTCTACTTTGGGACAGAAATTATACTCAGTACTTCTTGATTCTTAGTAGTTGTTAAGCTAAAGTCGGTTCGTGATTCGAACCATAAATATGTTGAAGGTATTGATTTTCTCAATTTATTTCTAACTCATCAGATATAAATTCACTTGGTATTGTTTGGCTTGTATCTTCCCATTGAGGTTTAAGACTGCAATTGATCAGTCTGTTATTAGCATATGTGCATACTGTGCGTATGCCTCGATATTACCTTAATTCACAAGCTTTGTAAGCAACGAGTCCCAAATAGGACGAAACGCGCGTCCTAGATTCCACTGCTAGCCACTATCCATCATTCATTAGATATAAGTTTTGTATGTCGCTATTCATAGATTAGGGTATTTCAACTTAATAATTTTAACTGTTTAGATAATGATTTATATGGGATCGTGAAAACGACCATTCACATAAATAATAACTTTATAGGGAAAATGTAACATATACTAGTGAAGTCAATAAAGTAAGAATTAAGACATCCTATAAGTAATAATGGAGAAATATATAAGCAATATGGAACCCTGGCTATTTCATACTGTGATCAGAGTCAAATGAGAATTCGTTGATTTGACTGGTCTATTTTCTATTAATCAGGATTGTTAGATGAATTAAGACGGTAGAATATTCTTATGTAAATTCTATATAGACTCTAATAGTTTTACTACTGAACTCGTTTTTGTTTGAACTTTTGAAACAATTTATTTTCTGATCTACGTAGACTCGAATAAAGTATCTTGGTTAAGAAATACTAGATAGTAGAATAACACAACAACAAAGCGCCTGGCGCGAGACTGATAGGTCCTGGGTTCGAATCTTGCGGGGTGCGGGATCGTGGATGTGCACTGCTGAGGAGTCCCATACTAGGGCGAAACGACCGTCCAGTGCTTCCAGGTTTCCAACGGTGGTCTAACATCAATTGATTCATGATCTTAATCAAAAAAACTTAACAATCTCCACAACACCCATACTGATGACATTTATTATGTTTGAGAGATTGATTGAATTTAAGTCTATGAATCAATGGATGCTAATTGAATAGATAAATAACACTAGGTCTGTCATAATATCTGAACATTCTATTTTCTGTTACTATTTTTGAAGTGATGGTCATACATCGTTAAATGACCTCGAATGACAAAAATCAATATGGAGGAGGTCAATCAATTACATGTTCATCGATTAACCGAAAAAAATACAGATCGATATGAATATAAGAACACATAGAAATGATAAAATCTTTGAAGAAAATCAGAGGAGATTGCTTTAATGCTTGTGAAATAATCAAAAAGATTATGGCTACATGTAGTAAACACTGATAATATTGTGCAGAATGACAAAGGAACCTGCACAATTAAACCATTCATCTGAGAGAACATAACATTATCAAAGACTATTTGTTTAGTACTGTTTAGTTTTCTAATTATTCTTCAATTGATCTCAATTCATGCTGTAAACTGTCATGTAACTCATAGATGTTATTCACAGTTTAAGGCCATATCATGGGCATGATTTTTACTTGAACAAATTCTTCATCAGGTATGGATTTTTAAATTTTTTCATACCGGACTAACTTTGATTAAACAATCACTAAAAACCAGGGAGTTTGGAACAATCGTTTCGCCCGAAATCGCAACTCATCAACACTAGATATTAGGGATCCCACGAAGGATCAGATCAAGGACCTTCGTTTCTTCCAGGGAATGCGTAACTTTCAAACTACTGAGTAAAAATCCGTTGATTTCCATTTCATGACATCAAACTAAGCAAGTAATTTACTGTCTTGATCTTATTCTATCCTTAACCAAATACCAACCTACCCACAC